TCTAAAGTAGATATTATTTTAGTTATCTGAATCTGTGCCCTGGAAATAAGGATGTTGGGGGGTGGGAGGGTGATTTAACCAGATAAACTTGACCTCTCTGGACCTCAATTTTCTCACCAGAAAAAAAAATTAGCCGAGAGACTACAAATTCCCTCAGTAACAACAATCTCTGACCACTAATTATCAAGAGCATAATTTGTGTGCAAGAGAAAATCTGAATTCTTAAGAGCATGTCATTAAATATTAGAGTTTAAAATGCCTGAAAGACCCACAGTTATACTTCAGCATGACCACTGCACATTTTCTGACCACGGAGAAGATCTCGGAAAACACCTCGGCAGCAAATCACCCTACTGCGTTAGAACACCCAAAGAAACCCTGCGAACTGCCCTGGGGCGGGGCGGGGGGAGCGGTGAGGGGGCGTGCGTGCGTATCTGGGGGGGAGGAGTCAGGCGGAAGAGCCGAGAGTCTTGAAAGCACAGCCCGCTTTTCTGGGGTTTCCGTGCTTCCAGTATCTCCGAAGGACTTTTGTCTATATCTACAAAATCTCTCAAGCCACCACCTGCAGCTATACAGTTGTGGGAAGGGGAAGAAAAGGCAAAGGGAGTGGGTAGAGCGAGAGGAGCCTCGCTTGAGGCGCCCCCAAAGCCGGTGAGGCGAAAGTGGACTTTGAACCTCGACAAAGAAACGGGGAAAGAGAAAGAAAGAGGACTCCGCCTTTCCCACCCGGCTCTACTCCTTTCACTAAAAAGGAAAGACCGCCGCCTCCCCTCCCCTCCGCCTTTCAACCGGGGATGCGGAGCACAGACTGAAGCCGCCCCCGGGACGTCCAGCCGGGTCTGAGTAGCGCACAGAGTTTTGCACCCCAGGAGGCGCGACCCCTGCTCCGCCCGCAGACTCAGGGCGGGAGCATCGCCCTCCCTTCTCTCCTTCTCTCCGGGCCGAGGGGCAGCCGATTCTCCACGCACCGCCCTCCCTTCCTCTTCCTCCCGTCCCCGCCTCCCCGGCTCGCCGCCCCCGGCCTTTCAGCGGCAGAGTATTTTAGTACCTCCACCCACCCCGACAAGGGGGCCTTTTGAAAACTTTGTCCATATCCTGGGCAGGGCCCGGTCACCCGGGTGGGTGCCCGAGGGCGTCCGGGATCTCACAATGCACTGGTGAAACCACCACGGAAATCCCACCCCTTTATTTTTGACCCGCTTCTACAACCGAGTGGCATGCAGGGTTTGGGCTAACAATTCCCATGACCCGGTTGCCCCTCGCATGCGGGGGGCCTGGAGGAAACCCCCGCAACCCGGCGCCTTTCTCGACTGTCACGAGAGAAAAGGTGTGCGCGGGGAAGAGAAGCCTCCGAGAAACACCGTGGCTAAAAGAATCCTTTTAAAGGGAAAATGGGAGTGGGGTCCTTTTCCTCCCACATCCCTGGAATCGGGCGCAACAAGGCTGCGATACACGGTTGCATCACGTTAATTGCCGACCCTCGGCGTTCCTTGCCTTCCCCTCGGTCCCAGACGCGCGCCCAAATTCATGCACACACCCACAGCCACAGCCGTCACAGTCCGGAGCCCCCGCCCGGGTCCCCCGGATTCTCCCCGGCACCCGCCCGAAAGTGGGGATCACCCAGCTCCGGGGGAGCAGAGGGCGAGGGAAGCGAGGCCCCAGCACTCACAGACGGTCTCCCCACGGCCACGGCCATCGCGGCTGCGGCTCCGGCTTTGGCTGCGCCCGAGTGCTCTCCGCCAACACTGGCTGCTGCTCGGGCTCAGGCTCGGGCTCCGGCTCGCCTCCCCCGCGCCTCCCTCGCGGCTGCGCTCTGCTCGCGCCCGGCTCCCGCACGCTGCCAGCGGCATCTGCTACCCCCCACGCCACCGCCCCTCCAGCTTTATTAGAGCAACATGGCCTCCCGCCTGGAAGGGACCATTTGCTTCCCCAGAAAGGGGTGTGAGCCTGCGCGCCTGGGCTGAGGCCGTGGGAGGGAGGATGCTGGGTGGGCCTCCAGCCAGGGTCAGCAGGCTCAGGCCTCAGGGCTTGCCCTCCCGGAATGTGGCCGTCGGCCCCTAAGCGACCCTCTCCGGTGCCATCGAGACGCCCCCAGCCTATGCGCTGCCCGCCACCCCCAGCTCCACCACGTGCTGGCGTCCGAGTAAAAGCCTGGGCGCGGAGGTCCCAGCCCCGGGTCCCGTCGCGCGCTTCGCGAAGCGAGCTGCTAGAGCCGCTGCGGAGAGGAGTAAGAGACATTGGGGCAAGACAGGTCCGCGGGGACAGCACCTCGCGGAAAGCTAGCCCCGGGCAAGCACGCCCCACCCGGACGAACCGGCTTTGAAAGGGGTGCGGGCCATCTGGGAGAGCAGTGGGCGACTCAGGTGGGGCTGGGCCGACCCCAGTGAGGGATGAGTTGCTCCTACACAGTTCTCTTCTAAGGGAGAAACTGAAAGGGCGGCAGCTGGAAGCTGTCACTGAAGCGGGAGGCCGGGTGGGGACCCCAGTGGAGAGGAAGCGGCCGTAGTAGCTGCTGCTGTGAACTACCAACCACCGTCTGCTTGAGAGAAAGAAGAGGACGCCCCCGCTGGAGAATTAGAGCAGCTGTGGACTGCCCCAGAGCGTGGGGGCCCGTGGCCTCCCCGGGTATAAAGAGAGCCTGGCAGTCGGTCACACGTGGGGACTTAGCTGATTGTATTTGATCGTTGGAGACAGACCCGGAGACCCAGAGGAACGCGCGCGGGGTTGCAGCTGGGGCGCGCGGCTGTGGCACCCGGCGAGTGACTGTGGAGTCGGTGTGACTGCGGGCGCGTAGGACTGGGAAGCTCCTGTGCCGTGGGGAAGGATTTTTCCAGCAGATGCTGGGGCGTTACTGTGACTGTGTGGCGGGCAGAATGGCAGGGTCCGGGTGCTTGCCGGTTGGCGAAGCGCCCGGGCAAAGGCTGGGCCGCTAGGTGTGTCAGAGGAGCTGTAGATTCCCTCGGCCCTTCTTGGGGCCAGGGAGGGGGTCCACGACGACAAGGTAATTGAGGATAGCGACCGGCCGGGGGCGGGGAACCAGTTGGAGTGCAGAGTGTAGGGAGGCGGTCAAGAGCTGTGATCATCAGCCCATCCCATTGCGCGCTCAGGGAAAACCCGGGCCTATTGAATTAGGTGCAAGACAAACTGCCTCTTAAGACTGGGGCGCCTTAGATTCTGACCTGAGACTTCCACCAGCCAGGTTTCTTGGGGCCTTGCATCTGCCCCGCCCGCCGTCTCTGCCCCGGCGGAACTCAGGATTCGAACGCGCCGCCTTTGGCTAAGGGTGAGTGGCTTCCAGGCGCGGGTCTGACTGCTGCGAGGCAGACGCTGGGTTCCCCCAGGAGGGTTCGAGGAACTCAAGGCCACCCAGGCTGAATTCCACGCGCAAGAGGCGAGTGGAACCACCAGGGTTGAGAGTATGATGAAAGTGCTCTGAGTGAAAGAGAGATGAGGGGCTCTGAATGGGAACCTCTTGGTTTGAGGGCCAACCCAGACTTGCAGAATACTAACCTCTTCAGTTTTGACCAATCTCTACCCCCCTAGACTTCAGATGTTTTGAAGACAGGGACCACCATTTTATGTCAAGCATACAGTAGGCGCTCAGTAACCACTGAATTAAGATTCCCACGTGAATGGATGCTATGTAAAGGGAGGGGGAAGAGAAAAATACTTGGACCTGCTGCTCTCTGTATATCGACATTCTTCTGTTTGTTCTACCAGAGGGATGATTAGACAGCGGTGCTGCCCAGGGACATGAGGTCCTAGGTAAACCCTAAGAAAAGACAGCTCCACAGGCTGCCAACCCCATGTAAGGCGACTTGCAATCCAACTCTACATTTTGTGTTATATTGACCGGGCCAGACTGCAGGATTTAATTAATTGTTTTATTTTTATTTCCTTATTTTGTTTGTAAATGCTTATGTTGAAAACAGCTGATTAAATTCTAAGAATGTGAATTCCTTACCTTTCTAGGTGGGTGAGTTTATTCTTATCATAGAAGCTTAAAGTCACTTATTCCAAGATCTCATGTGTTTGAGGAAACCCTTTTAGGACAAAGTCATTACAGTTTTTCCAGCTTCTGCCTGAATTGTTTCACTGACTAGTAGCAATGAGTTAAATTCCCACTTCCTTGTCTTTGGGCAGGTAGGCATAAATAAGTTTAATAAAAATACAATGTAACTACTTTTGGCCAACGAAGCCTATTTCAAAATGTCAGTTTTCATTCTGAAGTTATTTAAATATCATTCTACAACCAGACTATCTAGATTTAATATCCCAGCTTTACCACTTCACAGCTGTGTGACAACCTTGGACAAATTACTTAACTTTTCAGTGCTTCAATTTTCACATCTTTAAAATCTGTGTAATAGTAGTTCCTCCCTAATAGGGCTGCTAGGGGATTAGGTTAACTTTTTAACTCTGTGCCTCACACTGTGCTAGGAACTAAAAATGTTTAAATGAGGATGCCTCTCTGATTCTTAACCAGTGCACCATCTGCTGAGAGACAGATGTTTAAACAATGCTGATAAATAAGCCAAATCCTCAAATAGATATATGAATTATGGGATTTTTAAAGCACAGTAGAAGGAGCTATTACAGTAAGTCCCCGACTTACAAATGAGTTCTGTTCCAGGAGAACATTCGTAAGTCGGATCCGTTCATAAGTCTGACAGAGTGAGTCTTATACACCTTTGACACAAATATACAATGTAAAGCCAATGGTTGAACGATTCATGTTATAAGAACAAGCAATGTCTACCATCTTTTTGCCTTGATCCAATCTCTCAGTTATTTCACTTTCGTTTCCATGGTTATTGCTTTGCACTTCCTAGCAGTCCCCTCCCTATCACCACTGCTTTTCCTCTTGCTTCCCGATGTCCTGGGCTCTGATTGAGCACTGTATTGCTGTACACTATCACACTGTACAGCAAGCACACAGCAGCACAACTGTGACAATGTCCGGCAGACACATGAGCGACTTCCGCGATTTGTTCGCATCTACGAATGTCCGTAATGCGAGGTCCGTTCGTATCTGTGAAAGTTCGCAACTTGAATGTTCGTAAGTTGGGGACTTACTGTATTCACTCTGCCCCGTCAGAACAGGAAAGGCTTCACCATGGAGGTCGAACAGGGGAGAGAGCAAGGAGGACATCCCAAACAAGAGAATAGAATGACCCATCTTTATTGATGTGTGGGAAGGATGGGTGCTCTGGCATTGCTAGAGTATAGGAGCCTTAGAGGTAGCCTCCTGGGGTGGGGAGAGCACAGCGCTTCAACTGCAGATTATCAATTGTTAGCTATGTGACATTGAGCTAGTTAGCCTTTTTTCATCTCATCTTTTTCTATTGTAAAATAGGGTAGTAACAGTGAGTCCTGATGGAGGACATCTGTTTGCCAGATCCATTCTTCATTCTCCTTTGTGCCTCCAGGAGCCTGAGCTCAAAGGGCTTTTTTTCCCCTTAGCGGTCAGTTGGGTTCAGACAATGGGGAGTAACAGCAATACGACAAAGAGAGGAATATTGATATTTATTCCCCCAGGTTTCCTTGCTACGGCACCATTGCAGGCTGGCTGCATAAAGTCACAGTTATTCCCCTAGGATAATCCAGGGTAAACTTGTGGTTTCTCTACATTTAGCCCCCACCCTTGCAAATAGTCTTTTTATTAAACTCTACTCAAATTACCCATTAGGAATGTACCACCTAGTTCCTTCATAGATTCAGTCCTTCACATAATTTTTTTTGCTCAGTTAACTGAGAAAACACAGATATGCTATTATTAGAGTGACCTATAATTTATTGTCTAAACTTAGAAACTTTTGAGATTGAAAAAAGAGGGTTGGTTCACTAGGACAATAAGCAAAAAACCAGGACATCTGGTCCCCCTAGCAATTATTACAAGATGTGTTAGGCAGTTCAGAGGTGATAATACTGATATACATCTTAACTAGGCTTTGAGTATCTCAAGGCAAGAGTACTTATTTGTTTCCGCTCACAGCACAACGTCCAATATATTCAATAAATGTTGAGCTGCATTTGGAATAGACATGAGTCTAGGGACTAGGTTAGAAAACCTTTATTGTCACGCTAAAGATTTGTAACTTGATCTTGTGGGACATGAAGAATCAAGGAGGTTAAGCATAGGACATGATATTTGCATTTTAGAAAAGATGTCTAGTGAATATTTGACATTGTTAGTAATATAGGATCTATTCACTTTTTAATGGAATCCCGATTTATTTGGGGAGATTTTCCAAATGAATGTTTCACCATGGTGGAAAGTAAATGCCTCTACAATAGAGGTCCCCAAAGTTATTGTACTTTCCTTCAAATCCTTTTACCACCAAAATACACCCAAGAGCACTTGGCCAATCAGACACTGTTAAGTTTGAATCTTGAGTCAAGTTACACAAAAAGAGCACAAATAGAGTTTATGCATTCCATAATTTATTTTTAAGCTTAAATTACCTAGGGCTGGTTTCTGTGGCTTGCAATCAAAGAACCCAGTCTAACACAAGATCACCTTGACTCCAGTAGAAATGATAAATTGGAAAAGAACTCGATAAGAGACAGGGAACAAGTTAGAAGCTATTGCCACTTTCATTTCAGACAGTACAACTGGCAAGAGACCTTGAACCTCCCCTGCAACACTATATGTAAAAATGTTCCAATTTTTTAAAACACATCTAAATTGGAGAGGGAAAAGTAAACTAGGTGTATTTGCAGATGACATGAACTTGTATATAGAAAAACCTAAGGAGTCATTAGAACTAATAAACAAGCTCAACAAGGTTGTATCGATAGATAACTGCACAAAAATCAATAGTATTTCTACACACTTGCAATG